AGCAAGCAAGCAAGCAAGCAAGCAGAGAAGAAGGAAGCAAATATAAGAATGGGCATTTTAAGGTTTCAGAGCCCTAAAAATGGTGTCTACACATAGTCAGTAGGTGTTGTTGGATCCTAACGATTCCTCAGGGGTGAGAAGGTGCGGTGTCAATGGCACAGACACAGGGAGTCAGTTGAAGGCAAATAATGAACTCATTTATTTAATAACAGGGAAGGCCTTAAAATGTTAGCTGGGCTGTGTAGAGAATGGTAGTGTGCTGGAGGTTTTCATCACTTTAGTAAACAAATGGAGAGCCCTGTAAGACATGTTCTTACAGTTGAAGAACAAAATAGTAGACATTGGAAGCAGCCTAAAGTAAGCCTAATGCTTTTGAATTGGACTTGGGAATGTTGGCATGAACTCAGGATTTAAAACTTTTATCAATGGTTATAGGAACAAGTAAATTTAGAATTTATATGTGTGTGCATGTGTTGTGTGATGAAACTTTACCTGGGGAGATGCAACACACATGTTTAACTCACCCCAGATAGGGAGCCTACACCACACCAAAGTACAGATAATATCAAAGTCCAGCTTGGTGAACTATGAGTCTTATTGAGGTTAGTTACAGAAATGGAGGAGGGATTACTTACAGAAGCAGAAATAAATCAAAGACAGCTGCATTACTAAAGTCCACCCCAGTGTGAGTGGCCCCTCACAAAAGCTGGGAACCTGGAGCTCACTGAACAGCATGCAGGTAGCCCAACAGGTTGGAGAGTGTCCCTTCTAAGTGACTCTGGTCTAAACCTCTTCCAGGCAGCTCCACTGGTCTCTGTTTCTTCCAGGCAGCTGGTCTGGTCTCAGAGTCTTCTTTGCAGCTCAGTTTGATTCCTCTGAGAGGGACGCTCAGCCTTTATAGCTTACTCTGGCAAAGAGGGACCTAGTGAATCTAGTCAGTTTCAGGGACTTCCTGAAGCTATTTTGAGTTCTTTACCTTCCTACCGAAGGAGCTTCTCTGCAGCATGGATTGTTTCAATCTTGGAGGAAACAGTTACACAACAGCATGTGAGTGCATGCGCATGTGTGTGCATATATGTACACCTGTCTGTTTATAGATTCACCATGGACTCACTCTCTGTCAGAAAACTCTGCAATATTAGTAGTAATAAATAGATACCTAGTATCTAGATTTTGGTTTATAAATACCTTTCAGTACTAAAAGAACCAAAGATCATTGTACAAATGCTACCAGATCCAGGGCAGGAAAAGTAGAAACCAAGCCTTGTGGTATTGTATTCCTCCAAATATTGTGCATGCTAATAAACTTATCTGGGGTCAGAGACAGAGCAGCCACAATGTTAAACATAAAGGATAGGCAGTGGTAGCACACGCCTATAATCCTAGCATTCCAGAGGCAGAAATCCATGTGTTCAAGGATATAGACAGGCATGGTGACTCATCACGCCTTTAATCCCAGAAAGCAAGTCTTTAATCCCAGGGAGTGGTGGTAGAAAGCAGAAAGGTATATAAGGCGTGGTGAGGACCAGAAACTAGAAGCATTTGGCTGGTTAAGCATTTGGCTAGTTAAGCTTTCAGGCTTCTGGCAGCACAGTTCAGCTGAGAGCCATTGGGATGAGGACACAGAAGCTTCCAGTCTGAGGAAACAAGGTCAGCTGAGAAGTTGGCCAGGTGAGGTTAGCTGTGGCTTGTTCTGTCTCTCTGACCATCCAGCATTTCACCCCAATAACTGGCCTCGGGTTTGTCTTATTAATAAGAACTTTTTAAGATTCATGCTACAAAGCTTGAATTATCTTATGCCAAAATCAAGAAGTGCTCAAAGACTGAAAGCAGTGTGTACAAAATACAATGGTAGCTTCAGTAGGTTGAACAGTTCTGGGGTAATCAGTGAATCAAAATAAGTATGGGCTGGAGAGATGGCGATGTGGCTTAGAACCCTTGTAACTCTTGTGGAGGATTCAAGATCAGTTCTCAGCACCCACATGGCTACTTACAACTGCCTGTAGCCCCAGTTCTAGGAGATCCAATGCCTTCTTCTGACCTCCTGAGGCTCCTTCATGCACATGGTGCCATACACATACCCACACCAATAATAAATATAAAAATAATTTATGATGCTAATGAATTATAACCTACTGAATCCAAGAGTTTGTAATGATATGAGTAAACAAATGAATGAATTTGAAATTTGAAGAAAAATGGAATATAATGTATGACTCCAAAATACCTTCCCATAAAATCCTTATGAATTAAAAGGGGGAAAGAATTGCTTTATAGTAAAGAGACATGATCAACATCCCTTAAAAGGCAAAGTCCACAGAGTGACCGACAGCACAGGCTGGATCATGTACCACCTGATAGGACATAAGGACAATAGCAGCATGGCGTCTGTAACGTGTGAAAAGCTGCACCCTGAATCCAATTACAGGGAAATATTGAGTGAACCCCGGTCCAGAGACAATTTATCAAATAACTGACCTTCAAAGCAGCAAAGTCACATGGGTAAAGAAGGCCTAAGGAACTCCTTCAGCCTAAACAAGACTGAAGAGAAAATTAACTGCACCCTGTGGATCCTTAGATATTAGGGACATTTGAATCAATTGATACAATCTGAATGGGATCTGAGATGAATGATGTGCCAGTGTTAACTTCCTCATTCTGATGGCTGTGTTGGTGGATAGAAAGGAGACTGTCTAATAAAATACTTGGGGGCTGGAGCTGAAGCATCATGTCAGCCACTCACTTTCATGTGACTTAGGATAAAATTATTTGCTCTGTTCTTACAGCTTTTCTGTGAGTCTGAATTTGTTTCATAATACAAGGCTTTAAAATGTGTATACGAACTCTGATTTCAGGAGATTACAAATAAATGCTTTTATGCTATATTCTCTCATATATGCAAAGGGTCATGTGTACAATACTATTCAGAGGACACATTATAGCAAGATAGTACATAGTAAGGACTCTGTAAACCTAACTTTGTTATTGCTACCATTTTCCATGACACAGCATTCAGTAAGTTTGCAGGAACTGTGTGGAGAAGCAGGCATCCTCTAGGGGTACATGTCCTAAATCGATTTCTGTGCCTAAGGGCTGAGGGCCACTCTCACTAAGGCACAGAGAGAAAAGCCAGGATGCTGTCTAATCCGAAGCTGCTGAGAACTGTGCAATAAATACGGAGGCAGCTTCCAGAAAACTGGATTTAGTTGCCAGCATATACGGAATTAGAGATTCCATACATTTCTGATTCTTTGTGTGCCAATCAAAGACTGTGTTTTCTAGGTCACTTCTGGGTTACTGTGTGTGTGTGTGAGAGAGAGAGAGGCAGGGGGAGAGGTATGTGTGTGATGTGCATGCATTCATGTTTACATGTATGGGAACAAGTGTGTGGTAGTGGGAATGCACATGAATGTGTTCTCATTTGGAGACCCAAGGTTGACATTGGAAGTCTTCCTTAGTTACTCTCCATTTTATTCGTTGAATCAGGGCCCCTCAGTTGAGCACAGTGCTCACCAATTGGCTGGTCTGGTTTAGCCAGCTTGCTCTGAAGATTCCTTGTCTCTTCTTCCCCAGCACTGAAAATATAGACAGCCACAGGGCCCACTTTGCATTTATGTTGGTTCTGGTGATCCAAACATTGGTCCTTATTGGGCTAGGCACCAAAAAATTTAACCACGGTGCCATCTTTCCAGTCGAAAGATGACTGTTAATTGAGGTATTACAACTGCATCTCTCACCATCACACAAGGATTGCTGATGCCTTTCATATTGATGTTTGGACTGCATAAATATTCCATATATCCCTGGTTGGCATCTACTCTCTGGGTAGAGGTGGCAGATGTGCCTACCCACCAGGTGGAAAACCAAAACACTCTCATACATTGCTCAAGGTGCCCAGGGAGCAAGGTTGGCCCTAGATGGGGTTCTGCTCCTTCAGAGAGGAAACCTACTTTTGGAAGTCAATGTATTTTTAATACACTACACTGAAATAACCAGAAATTGCATTAGTTTTTGAGTTTCCTCTGGAATCCACAACATATGGTTTTATAATATGCAAAATTTAAAATAATCATCATTTCTAACAATAAAGTATTGATTTAAATAATCATGGCATAGTTCTAGGACAGAATACTGTATGGAGGCTACATCTTCAGGGCAAACTCACTCTCAGAATGTTGGACTCTAGTCCAGCCTCACTACTGGAGAAGCCAGGTGGGCAGTAAGGTGTGGGGTAACCAAGAGTATCAAGTGTGTTATTTCTAGGTGAACACAGCTAAAAGTCCGGCTTCATGTGCCATCTCTTACTTCCCCTCAGCAGCAACAATAGTGCTAGTGCCTTGAGCTGAAGTAACATGGCCTTGCATGGAAGCATCTTGGGCTCCTGAGTCACTGCTTGGAGAGGTAAGGGACAGTCATCTTGTCCACAATGGCATTTGCATTATCATGGAAAACAAAAACGAACTCCTTCTTCTCCTTCTCCTTCTCCTTCTTTTCTTCATATGTGAATGGTGTACATGTTTGTATGCATATTTGCATGTATGGGGATATACATGTGTGTAGCATGTGGTGTGTGTGTGTGAGGGAAGTGGGGTGTGTATGCCTGAGGCTGATGTTGGAACTCTTCAGGACTGCTCTCCTACTTTATGTTTTGAAGCAAAGTCTGTCATTCAAAGCCAGAGTCCCCTTCTATGAAGGGCTTTACTAGTCAACTGCCTTTAGAATCCCGACTGCATCTTGTGAGACTGGAATTACAGGGGGGTGGGTCACCACACCCATCCGCATCTCCGCAGCTTCTGGAGTTCTGAACTCTAGTCCTCCTGGCTTGGGGGTAATTGCTTTAACTGCCAAGCCCCCAAACCGAATACAACTTTTAGCCTCCAAGATGTCAAGGCTTATTTGTTCCTTCTGTGTAGTCTCTCCTAGCTGATACAGACGTTTATACTTTATAAGGGGTTAGGTCCAAAGAAAACCAAGTGTGAACAGAAGACGCATTTCAGTGGTGGGCTTTCTGGTGATTTATTTACACCATGCATTTGGACAAAGATTTACCGAGCCCATCAGTTCTGGCACTGTAAAATGGGATCCAGTGATGAGGGTGGCGTTATCTTTACCCGGGGGAGGCTCACAATTCTTTCACGGCAGAAGACAGTGCGGCCAGTATACTCTTCAGGCAAATGCTGAAAAAAATAAATATAACAAAAGAAGGTTTTAAACATTGAGAGGGGAGAATCCCACATTGGTGGCCCCCGAAAAAGAGAAACACCCGGGCCCTCCCCTTCATGCACCTCTGACAGAGGGTATTTCTAGAGCCGCAGGATTCCAAAGCTGCGGGATGCTGTGCCGTGGTGGTGGAGCAAACCCCCTTGTGAACATCGTTTGAGGAAAAAGAGATTTCATTAGATTTTTAGGCCCTCCCCACCCCAAAGCGTCGCCTGTGTTTGGGACTCGCTGCCTGTAATCTTTCCGCTCTATTTGCTGCATGAGCGTTCATTATTTTAGATCAAAGAGAACAGAGGAAGCCGCTCATACCCTTCCCCAGTGTCTCTCTCATTAGAAGTAATTATTTCCGCAGTTCAGTCCTCTTTGTTCACAGTCGCGTCCAGTGAGGAAACGGGTCTTAAGAAACCCAATTATGTCTGAGGCGGTTTCAGAATCCGATAAAAGGGGTGGGGGCGGGGGCTTCAGAGCGGCCTGGCCGGGGGGGGGGGGGGGGGGGGGGGGAGAACTTCGCATTTCCAGCACCCCGCCACATTAAGAATTCTGCTCCCTGGGATTAGCTTGGAAAGCACTTGGCCTTAAATAGAGAAATTTTCTAGTTTTAATGTCTAAAGCTGAAAATAATGAATTCCATTAAAAACGAATGAACTCATTTTCTGTATTACTTTACAGCATATGATTTAATTACTGCACCAGCCACTGAAGAATCACAATTCATTCTGGGAAGTGTTTTGGTAATATTGTGCAGCTATGGATTTTTTGCTTGCTTTATTTAATGAATCTGTAAGAGACATAAATGATTCCTTCAGACTGAGGGATTTGATTCCCAGTTCACGGTGGAACAAATATATCGATTATTATCAACCCACCAACCATGCCCAATTAAAGGTTTCTATACAAATAATTTCACGGAAGGGACCCTGGAATCTAGTCTAACATAATTTATGCTACTTCTTATTTATTTGTAGAAAATAAAATAGAAAATTTTAAAAGCTTTGTGTCTTGAAGACAAAAAAAAAATGTGTTTAAAAATTTAAAAGAGTAGTGAAAATTAAAAAAAAAAAATCCTATGTAGGAATCTGAGGCCCGGAAGGCACTGGGCTCAGAGTCCATGTTCCATCTTCTGTACTGACTGTGGCTATTCATGATGGCTAGAGACACGCATGCTTTGTGGTGCTGTTCATCACACCTGGAACACAGCCAGGGCTTTCCTCCCTTGTGTGTGGCTATGACAACCTTGCAATGGCCAATGCTCAGGCCCCACCTTCTCCAGAGGAAGGGGATGGGGTGCGTCTGGCCCTTTTCTACTTTTTAATGTTTGACTATTACTTAAAGTTTATTGTTTTCAAGACCATGGGCTGCAAGTTTGAAACTTGCAAACACAAGAGGAAATTCAGCCCAAAGAGAGCTGAACCAGTAAATAGATAGATGATGCCACTTAGCATCAGGGATACCTAACTGTTTCTTTCAAGAACAAGCACAGGCAGGTGCCAGCGTCAACACAATAAAAAACACAAGCGAGCATGAAGAAATGATACAGCCATATAACATATGCATACCATAACATTCTGTTGGTCCACCGAGTAATGTATTTTAACAAAAGATAAACATCTGTACGATCCACCTAAACATCATAAAATGAGCATGCATGTATTACACCCAAATTCTGTGGGTATAAGTCACAGGTACTTCATATTTTCCAGGGTTTTCTTAAAAATATTCTGAAAGCATTTCAAACATCTGTTTGTTCTCTCAGTGCAAAAGATGATTAGATAAATTTATTCACGTTGCTTCAAACGGATGGAGTTTAGAGTGAAATGTCCCACTTACTAAAAATACAAAAAAACTTGATAGTCGAGAGAGTCACTTCTATTTGGTGTGTGAAGCAGGTTTGAAACACCAGCCGTCTAAATGATGTGTGGAAAGGCTATGGGGAGGGACCACCATTTCAGGATGAAATGAATTAGAATATTTGGTGTTTATTATAGGTCAGGCAGTAAATTACTCTGATTAAGACAAATCAAGATCACCTTGACGTGGTGACCCCAGGGAATTTTAATTAGTTCTGTGGGTAGTTTTTTTTTTTTTTCAAACACTGTAGTATCCAATACTATATGACATTCAGCACATCATGTCAAGAAAATCAGATTGTTCTACAGTGTTCGGCCTCTTCACACTCTAATCTGAATTCCACTTTTCTTCTAGGTCAGCTCAACAGAAAATGAGCTTTTAATACAAAAAGAATTCTAATTACTTGGCAAGCTTTTTTCCCTTTCTACCAATTAAAAAGCTAGCAAACATTTTGTTAACTTGCTACTCATAGAGGTAAAAATGATTAAGACAGGAGATGAATTGTTTTAAGCCAAAAAATAAATATATACAATACAAGCCCCTTTCCATTGGCATTCACTGGAAGTTTTTACAGTTCAAATAGTTGAAGTGCCTTCCAGTTCTAGCTTTGGAGAAAGTTTGAGAATAAGCCTCCTCCCAGACTGAAAAGAGCGGCGCTACAGCGAAGGCTGAAAGTCTGCTTTACCCTGGACTGATGGGCATGTTTTAAGTGATTAAATTCTCTCCCCTCTCCAGGATTAAAATGAACATTTATCAGCCTCGTTTGTAAGAAGCTGGTTTTGCAAATAGCAAACACATGGGAAGGTATATGATGACCCAGAGGTCTTTAAATCCAGAAGGAAATATTTTTTGAAATATATTTCCCTGGCTGAGAAGATGGCTCAGTGGTGTCTGCTGTGCAAACATGAGAACCCGAATCCAGATCCCTAACATTCAGGAAAAAGGAAGCTATAATAGCATGTATCTGTAACCCCAGGGTTCTAGGGAAAGAAAAGAGGAGAGATGGGAAAAGCCTTGGAAAGGGAGGGACCAACTAGCCTGCAGTACACAGTGATAAACTACAGGAGACCCTGTCTCAAGCAAGGTGAAAAGATGGAGACTGTCATCCAAGGTGTCCTTGAACCCCACACTTGTGCTATGGCATGAGTACACAACACACACACACACACACACACACACACACACACACACACACATGCACCCACATCATGAAGATAAGAAAAAGTATATGTAAATCTATTTCACATATGAGGCTATGGCCTCCGTAGGCTCATAGAGAGTAGTATTTTTTAAAAGGATTAGGACCTGTGTCCTTGTTGGAATAAGTGTGGCTTAGTTGGAGGAAGTGTGTCACTGGGGTGTGCTTTGAGGTTTTAGATGCTCCAGCCAGGCCCAGTGTCACTCTCTCTTCCTGCTGCCTGCGGATCCAGATGTAGACCTCTCAGCTACCTCTCCAGCACCATATTACCCTGCATGACACCATGCTTCCCACCATGAGGATAATGGACTAAATCAGCGTGGTCATGGCATCTCTTTCAGAGGCTTTCATGTTTTCATTTAAATTTGAATCTGATGGTTCAGTCAAGTGCATTTTTTTTAAAGTGGAACAATTGAGCTGTGCATGATATTCTCTTTGTAGCTAAAGATCAAGTTAGACTGGAGTACAGCACAGTGGTAGAGTGCTTGAGGACACAAGCGGCCCTGGGTTCAATCCCCAGTACTGCAAAACCCCCCAAAACACATAAAGCTTCAACCAGCCAATATACATTGGCCATAAAAAAGGCAGGATGCTCTTTCCTTTCCCCCTTTAAAACCAGAGGAGAACACTGTGAACCTCAAGAACCCCACAG